ATATTGCCCCAGTTATATTACATTGCCCTGGTAGCAGCCATACACTGCTTTTATATCTGTAAAGGGTACATGTCGAACAACTGTGTTTTACCTCAATTGGACATGCATCCCATCTCTGCCGTTTCGAAACAAATAAAAATACATGCGTAAAAGCAATATTTTGATTTTAACATAGACCGCCACGTATATACGGTACATTGGGAACATTGGCGCTCCGGAAGTGTGTGTACCAATGTGGAGATAAATAATTTTGTTAGCCTACTCTACATCAAGTTGTGTAAAGAGATGGAAACCGATGGCAGGGGGCTTATTCACTTGACTAACACAGATAGTCTCCGAATCCGTAATGGAACTGAAATAAGAAAAATCGGAATAAAATTATGGCCTAACCCCAACCTTGTACACACACTGATACAAATTGTTCCTAACGCAAATACCACTGACCTCATTTTATCCGTTTTTCGTGCATGAAAACAACAAGACTAGCGCTCGATTCAAACATGAAGAACGATCCCAATCATCGCCAAATCACAAGATTTTTATCAAATTTATTGCAACTAATCTGCCATGTTGACAGATGTTTAAATTTGTTGACATAACCTAGTGTTGGCCCAGACACCAAGTTGTGAACTTCGCAAGCAAACTTTGACTCAACTGTTATTTCAGGTTAGGAAACCGAACTGACGTCGTTCCTCGTAAAATGTTGGTTTTGTAATATTTGTTCAGCACTACTGTGTTTTCCTGTTTGTAATTTGACCAACTTGAAGTTTTGATGCTTCGAGTCCAAAAAAGGAAGTTCTGGAACAACATGTTTATTAGATCTCAACATACATGCTTATCGTACGTATTGACATCAATGCTCTAATTAGCGCAATTGGATATAAAATTAAAAAAAAAAATTAACCGATAGATTAATTAACCGATTAATATAGAACGTATGATTTCGCGCTTATTCACGAGATTCTTCTTCATTTTCCAGAGTGTAATAAATGCCATAATCAGAGTTCAAAAAGCAAAATTGAAGATGTTAATAAAAAGAAACCAACATTTTCTTATTACATTGAAAAAGTAATTTAATACGTTATTCTAGAATCCGGAAAATTTTTCAATAGCGTCGTTCACTTGATTCGGAAAACATTTACAAACATGCGAAGTACAAGTGTGGTTGAAATTGCAACAAAATGAAACACATACTATTAAAAATATAAATTTGTGTCAATGTTTTTTATGGTTATCATCTTTAAACAAATCAAAATGCTTGCCTAAACATGAATTCTTCTTCATAGGGAAATAACTATATATGAAATAATTTGGTACTCCTGCAATGTTTGTACCAGATTAGGGTTAGGCCGTAATTTTATTCCGATTTTCTTTATTTTAGTCATATTACGAGTTCGGGTACTGTTGTGTCAGCCAAGTGAATATACACCCCCTGTCCAAAGGCTTCCGTCCTTTAACACAACTTGATGTAGAGTAGGCAAACAAAATTAGTTACCTCCATATTGGTACACATATTTCTGAAGCGCCTATATAAGTTTTGTCTATTTCTGGGTAGATTCCCCGGACATCAAAATAAGAACCCACTTGTCTTCATAAGCATGTTCAACTACAGATGACAACATGTAGTCTGCAACAAAATCAACAAATTATCTGTGTTTTAGTTCATGTTAGTTGAAATAAAACAGCATTCTTTGATGGAAATATAAACACATTTATTTGACCTGGTTTATGTTGTTCTTCGAATCGCAAGGGTCATTGAACGAAGAACATTTTACTAAATTGAGACCAAGTAGCTCAAGTAAAATGTCCTACATCCTCCGTTTTCTCACGATAACGAGATCCATCAAGAATGATTTCCTTTGGGTACTCACGTAGTGTGTGTACTAGGTTAGGGTTAGGCTCTGATTTTATTCCGATTTTCCTTATTTCAGTTCTATTACGAGTTTGGGGACTGTCTGTGTTAACCAAGTGAATATACCCACTGCCCATAGGGTTTAGTCCCTTTACACAACTTGATGTAAAGTAGGCGAACGAAATAGTTACCCCCATTATTGGTACACATACTTCTGAAACGCCTTCCTTAGTGGCCAAAATAATACGTTAAAAGATAGTTTGATTACTTGTAAATTCGAAAATTGTATATTGTAAAGAATTCAGCACGAAACATTGTTTAATTTATAGCAAAAGCGACTATTTACAGACTGTCAACAAATGCAAAAATCTCTGTGATATCTACCACACTATAACGTGAGATCCCCCTCAAGCTGGTAATATTGTGTGAGGTCTCCGTTGGGGTTAGGATTAGGGTTAGGGTAAAACTTTCTTCAAACTTTACATCACCCTGAATCGATGTTAACCAGTTCAAGACGAGGAAGCATCTGAGACCACACCCGGTTAGGCGAAATATGACGGTAGATCTCTCAAAATTTGAATATAACAATAACAACATATATTGAGGATCTTAGGATAAATTGCACCGTAGTCACGTTTTCCTTTATAACGCCCACGACAAGATTTGTGACAAGACAACAGTGAGAATTTTCAGACCATTTCTCCTTCCAATATTTATCAGATAATATTTGTAATCTGTAAAATCTCAAATTGATCTGTAATTGGGAAATGCAGGCGTGGTAATCGGATCTGCTTCAAAAGCTGACTTACAACTATCCTGTCTCGCTTAAATATCCAGACATTGTAGATTTAAATGTAATTATTTGTATTCTATGCTAGAAATTTCAGCTTCGGATCGGAATTAGGCTAAAAGTTACTTGAAAGAGGAATATGTACCCAAAAGGAATTTTGAAACGATAGGTGATCAGTTCCGCAATCATTAGTAGAGTCTCTCAAACACGAAAACAGCAAAGATAATCACATTATTTTTTACCACGCACATTCGCGCTTATCGCTCCGAATAATGCTCTTTGCAAGCACCCACTGATTCCTAACGAAATGTAAGGACTACTTGGAGGAACCGTTGTAGTAGCAGAAATAAATCTTTTACAAACATGTTAAAAATTGGTTACCAAGGGTTTTCAATACAGTAAACAAATCATTGAAACGTAACAATGCAAAATGGTTTAGTTTCTGACGCCACAAAGATCATTGAAACGTAACTATGCAAAATGATTCAATTTATGACGTCACAAAGTTCTCTGTTCATATTTTTATAGCAGATTTACAAAGGTCGGTGTTTCGTAAAAACACATTCGATTATTGACATTTGTATAATAACCATAAATTTTGAAGAAAATTACTTTTTAGTCTATCGCATTATAATTGAAGAGAAAAAACCAATTTATATATAATTATTTTGATAAGGTTTGAACAAACACGGCCTGAAGCAAAGTTTACTATTTTTACTTCGATTTCTTCGTGCCATGTATGGTAGATTTTACATGAATATAAGACTTAAACTTTGTCCGCGAAAATCTTAACTTGCGGTCGCCTTAGTCGTCGCCACTTCGCTGCAAATTATCGAGGCTGAGTTCCCTGGTTTCCGGGATATGTTTCGTAACTAAGAAACGTGCTCGATTATTTTAAGAAATCTGTGAAATTCTGAGCAAGAGATTATTATGTGGCAACGGAGGCCTGCTATCAAAATTATTTGTATATACATGGTTAAGTAAAGTTCATGTCAGACCGTTGTTATATGGAGCAATCGAGGTAACTTTTAAAAAAAATATGACTGTTCGGATTTAGTCCCAATATGGCATTCATAAATTCGATTCTGGCCTGTCCAGTAAAGTAGTATATATATTCAATTTTTTGCATTTCACTAAATAAACTCAAGAATAAATTTTTATAGTTCTACGTTGTTACCTAACTGATTTATAAGATTTTACATTGCGCGACTTCTTTATTTTTCAAGGCAAAACGCTATGTCGGTCTCCAGTTGCAAATAACGTTATTTTAGACAACATTTTCAACCATAGTTATAATTATTTATCCATGAGTAAGTATAACGCGAATATACTCTTGAAAAAATCCGTCTGGCCAAATATATTTTGGTTTTGCGTTATTGTTGCTGTAACGGGATTCGTTTTCATTTGCTGTTAAAATTTCTTTTGGTGAATTTTCTGAATTGCATTATTAATTCGTGCAGTCGGACTACTAGCTAGTGTCAGTTAGGCTTGAACAGTTCAATTTGTGTATGGCTTATAGCCTGCAAGGCTTATGAGCTATAGGGAGGCTAATTATGGGTGGTTACGACACCATAGCAATATTTCACCGACACATTCCTGTCTTATCTTTCGCTAAATTGCACAGTATCGTATTATATTCGCGCACGAATTCCGACTAAATCTGATAATTTGAACAATAGAGCTTTGTTGCAATGTGAGCGCAAAAGCTTCGTCGGGAAAGACTATCCCGATAACAGGTGGAATTCTTCGCTTGCTAAGCAAATAGGAAAGATTTAAGGACATTATATCGCGTTTTTATCAATATCATTGGCATTTTCTTCAAACTCTTTAATTTCAATTTAATATTCAAATCGCTGGTTTCAAAATTAACGTCAAAAAATTTCACAGACAAGTGTGGAAGTCAAGTACGACATAGACATGTTGTTAAACGTACAAAGACGGATTTGTCCTGCTGTTTTCTTTGTTTCTTTATGTTACTCCGTCGTATTGTTTCTTTATTATTTCTACATCTTTGCTTTTCGGGCGATTTTTCTCCAAGAGTGCTCACCCGCGCGTATCTGCTCGTCTCTCGAGAGAACCGTAGTTCTCTTTATTATCTTTCAAAGATGACGAGCGAAGACGGGGATCGCTTTCCGTTATAGAAAGGCTTCTAGTTCGGCAGGAACCATCGAAGAGAACCGGTCTATTTGACTGCTTTTCAATCAAGAAAACAGGACAGAATTTATCAGAATTATAGCTAGAATTAATCAGTTATTTTAACATTTTGCAAGAGAAAACGAAGGCAGGTTAATGAAGTACTTTCTGTTCCATCCATTGACAGAAATCACGTTAAAATCCGACATTTTTTATTAAATTTATTCTTTCTTGTAACGTCAGTTAGTTTATCACTAGTAAGATAGGGCTGGCAGTTCTCAGAAAGTGAAGTACTGCACCAAAAGGCCCCAACATGGCGCTGGGAAAGCCTCAAACAACATTTTTAATACTTGCCATCTTCTTCATATTTTCTACGCAAATCGAAGCTAAAGGAAAGGTATGTTGGTTTCAATATTCGGTAATTTTTGTTCAATAAAAATCTGAATTGTATACCATCTGGGACTCGCTTAACATTAGCTCTTATACAGAGTATAGTTGGGCTAGGTTTTGTTGTGATAGTATTATATTTCTAATAAATTTATCCGTGCCTTAAAAAGTTGACACTCGTTTTTCAATTTTATTTTAAAACACTCACATGTCTACTGTATGCATATGTCAGTTGCAATAGGCAATATATGCATAACACTCAAGTATTAAGAGTTGGCTACTGCAAGAATCTGAAGGTTTTGAATCATGATTCTCTATAAACTACCGTAGACATCAACAATGGCCATAATAGCTGAATTGTATGCCTTTTGGACGAGTCAAACCTTAGTGAAATTGCCCGTAGAAAGCTATTAGAATACGGCTATAACCGTGTCCTAACTAGTCACACGAGTTGGTACCCCTTTGATCAGTTATGATTGTTGAAACCGTAATCTCAAAACTTAAATACACTTTTGCATTGTTTTGAGTAGCTTTCGGCCAAAATCACGCTATTGAACATCTTAGTTGGGTACTGAACTTGACTGGTTTCTATTTTTTTTGTGCTTGATTTTGTTACAATGTATCATTTTGCCTACTTCATATATGGTTGCAAATGTGTGCTTGAGTACAGGTAAGGTAAAAATGTATGTATGTATGCGTATAGTGTATAAGTTTGAATCTTTCCTTTCGACAATCCCCAATGTTGTAACATGATGATTTCTATATCATCAAGGTTAATAGAATTTTAAACCTTCGTTGAACTTTGACATACGTTTTCATAAGCTAAGGGGTATTTCTAATACTGTTAAAGTGCCGACGTAAAAAAAACGTAGCAAGCTAGAAAAGGTTTCTTATGTATATTAATCCGGGAGATGATAAAGTCCAAGTTACGCACGATTATAGAGCTTAGCTTATGTCGAATGTGACTCTGTATATTCACATTTTTATGTGGAAAAATGGAATTTCTGTTGTGTTTGAAAATTTGTTATGTATTTTTCACTACGGAAGATTCACATTAAACATAATATCATTCCCAATGTAAACACGTAGACTTACTGGATCAAGAAGTTGCTACTATATGTTATATCAATAGCGCAGTACTTTCCACCCAAAATTTTTAACTGTACATTCCGTCTTCTATTCACATTACTCCTTCTTGTTACAAAAAATATTCGCCTGTGGTGTTTGTTCCCGAATCCTTTACTTTTTAAGAATAAAGAAGTAAAAATCATATGTTGTAATAAATTGTTATATTTAGTAATTTTATTAGATCAAAAGCTCAGTGCAAGGTTAATATAAACTTGATCAAACATTTCTATGAAAACTGTTCCATTTCTCAAACCTTTGATTTGTTTATCTTCCACTTTGACTTTTAACTTTCAACCAAGTGCCATGATGTGTTGAACCTGGTTAACCAAATAGTAATGATTTGATTTATTGCGTTAAACAGTGACGATTGAATCCGAATCAGAGACGTTCAAAACAAATCGAACATTCAATGAATTCAAAGCTCATTATATTCAATATTTGAAATTGTTGTTTTTAAAAATAGTTTGGTTATTTTATTAAAAAAATCACCATTCTGTGCAATTGAAGTCTCACCGAAAAAATACAAGAAACATCGTCTTCGATGTGTTTTTGTTTAAACATGACTCGATTTAGCATAAATTCGATGTTTCATAATCGAAAAGTGGGTTACTCGGTCTTGGCCATTGGCAGCCATCGTCTTAAATACCACACAGTTCATCCTATATCTAAAAGCTTGAAATATTCATTTTGAACAATGGTTATAAGAATGTGATGGCTCATGAGTAAGATCAGGAACTATAAAATATTTTGGGTAAATTTAATCATTTGAATACCACTGTTTGACATAGCCATTGGTAGCACTGTCTAGTGATACCTCAAACACCTACTTTATCCGTTAAATGATGTCAGCTAATCCTTTAAAATAATAGTCGAGACTGGTCAAAGTTTAAAGGTCGAGGTCATGGTGCGCACAGTAGCTGGAAAAAATCATGACGTTTGCTGGATTTTGTTTTGAGAAAAAATTTTCTGACTGTTTGGAGGTCAGAGGTTAAACACAGTGACGTATTTGGCCCTCGGCGTCGGCATATCTTACGGAAAAGTATCGAGTTTTCACGGAACTTCCGCGAACAAAAATACTGGACTGGACATTGGTCCTTAACAGTCTTATTTTGAACATTGCTTGTTCACCAAAGCGCTCAAAATAGCTTTAATAGCCACGTGTTCGATTCAATATGATTAACTGAATATGCCGTTACATTCCATTCAGGATCTAAGATCTATCTGTGACAAAGCTCTGTAATCTTACCCACGTTTCCACTCGCGTTCGCGCTTCTTTTTTTCATATTAAATTTTCAATTATGAAGCGGATATTTCAAGCTGTTACATCTCCTAATCTTTTAATTTAGCAATTAAAAACTAATAGAAATACTTCTTAAAGAATGTCGAACATTATTTTAAAGAATGTTCCTAATTGCTATGAACGTAAACACGACGCATGTCTAATTGAAAGAGATTAATTTAACGTACTTTCCCGTTATTGCTTATACGAGTAGCCATCGACTGTCGGTGAATTATGATACTTTTAAAATGAGCTGCAAAAGTGTAAAATTTATGAAAATTTAAAGTATGCCAAAATGGGTTCAGTGAAATTCCTCTCCGGTGTAAAATTTTGATGTTCTGGGGAGAGAATATCATCATAGTTCGAGTTGCGTAGCACTATAGCTAAGGATCCAATAAAACAGGAGTGTGCAACCCTTTTATTCCGGTGGGACAGATACAAATAACTGGGTAAAACGTAGGCTGAGAAGTAGTCGCTGGCACAAAAATGCAGGCTTTGCAACGCAAAGGGATTGGAATTACTGTCAGATTAAACAGGCACGTACCGGATTCAACCAATTTAAAAATTCGTTTCGCGGGTCGCACATCATTCAAAATTGGCACTTCTCCGCGGGCCGCACAATTCTTGCCCCTGGGCCGCATTTGGCCCGCGGGCCGCAGATAGCACACCCCTGCATTAAAACATTAAACAAATAACGAAAACATAGTTTTTATGCACGATGAGAGAGGAAAAAAGTTATTCCAAATAGGCAATGGGAGAAATGAAATGGCATTAGTGAATTCTAAATTTTGAAATTTTTAGAGAAGACTGTCTTGCATGACAATTGACGACGGTGACAATAAAACATAAATAATATGAGACACCTAGAGCAGTCAATCGGAAATGTAGCAATTAACCCGTCAAGGTAGTTCTATTGAGTCATATGAGCGATTGTGACGTTTTAATTACTTCTATTTCCAATGCAATAAAAATATTTGTATTTATGACGTCGTTGTGACGAAGCTCCAGTTTGTCGTGACTGTATTGTATCATAAAGGTTGGAAAATTATCGTAAAAGGAGTTCTTATTTAAAAGGTAAATTGTGAGCTTCCACTGAGTCCCCGTTAAACTTTTTCTAGTCCAAATATGGCAACTATGATAAAATAAATATTTTATTTAATGGAGCTATTGTAAACAAACCCATTAATTGATTGATAAACATTCTTCGTCGCACAGAGTATAACGTTTTCGATTAATATAAATAAATAAACAAACGATAAATTGACATTGTGACATCTTCTCACCCCATTGTTAGTAAACAATGTTCTAAATAGTTTGCGGGGGAGTTAGTCACATGTCAGTGTTTCAAACATGGTTGAATTTCGGAGCGAATATTTTCTGCCAGTCTTATTTACAGTAAATACATGCACCACTTGTGGGGATAAAATGATAAATATAAATAGCTTATTCCAACCTATATTCTGTTGGAACTTATATGTTTGGGAATTTAATTATCAATAAGCCGAGTACCAATTAATAACGTTATTCCTCGTTTGGTTTCATTTCTGTCTATCAATTGTTAGAAAATCGTTGATTACGTTCTATATAAAATCGGAAAATAGTGAATTGATGAGATATCGAATTAACAAAATTTTAGACAGCAAACAAATAATATATCATATTTAATTTACATAGATTTCTCATCTTCCAATTCTGTCTATATTGTGCTTTTTTCAGCAGGAATTGTAGAAATGTTTCGATATAAATGTTTTTTTATTTCTTGCTGACTCGTCGTAGTTCATATTGTTTGTCGATTAGATCAATCAATATTTGTTGTGTTAGATTTTCTAAGACTTGATATTTCACAAAGAAATCACTTTTATTCGCAAAACGTTCATCTTGTCTGTCGCACATTCAAGTGACTCGATGCAAGAAATAGCGTCTAAATAAGATATTAGCGCCACGACACATAAAACACGATTTTGGAGGGCTTTTTTACATTCGAATTTACTCAGGTCACAGCACATTTTTTGGCGCTCCAGAGGTGTTTGTACTTATATGGAGGTAACTAATTTTGTTCGCCTTCTTTACATCAAGTTGTGTGAAGGGACTGAAACCTATGGGCAGGGGGTATATTTACTTGGCTAACACAGATAGTCCCCGAACTCGTAATAGAACTAAAATAAGGAAAATCGGAAAAAAATTATGGCTTAACCCTAACCTGGTACACACACTACAGAAGCACCCATTTTTCACCACTTTTGTATCGCGAGAAACTCTTGAATATTATAATTGATAAGAACGCCAGTACGCTTGTGTAAGACTAGTAATAAGACGCCGTCGAAATGACCTGTCCTTCCAACTCATCTTCTTTATTCATCGATGAGGTAAAGTTTCCTCGACCAATCGGCCACCAGAGGCAGCATATACCAACCTTGCGAAATTGTTCATCCTTCGAGACATTGACCTGTCAAAGTTTGACTGAATTCGACCACATTTTCATTATAATCAAAATGTTGAATGAATTTTATATTTACTTAGTTCTTATGAGTCCATTGTATTTTATAGGCTGTTATAAATTCGCAGTTTATTTACCCATATCTTATGGTAATTTCTAGGTAAAA